AAACAAAAGCAAAAGGGCACCCTAAAATTGCAACCGATGAGAAAGAAAATAAATATGTTAATGGCCAAGGGGCAAATTAAAACGATCTGTTGCGATAAAATTGGATAGAAGAATTTGATTTTACACAAAATCCAAAAACCTTCAAAAACCATTTCAATGAAAAAAAACAACCTAACAATATATAAATTGTTTCCATTAAATAAGATATACAGATTTGCCTAAAGCATTTGCAAATTGCAACTACACGTTTAAGTCGTCACCACTGAGTACTCTATGTAGAGACCTAATCAACAGCACTCAACCATTTCATAAGGCATAAGGAACCATCAACAATCATATACAAGTTCACCAACTAATTCACATCCAACCAGAAGATTTATAAGAAACTTAAACATGGAAAATGACGTTATGATACCTAATTATAAAAACCAAAACTTCTCAAATAGATTCAACTGTTTGACAACAAAATATAACCAATTCATAATCTGATACCCACCTAATTCATCGAGAAAGATGAAATTTTATAATGAGTAAGCCATAAACCCCCAAATCTAAGAACTAGTAAATTTGGTAACAGCCTTCGTCCCTTCCGAGACAACATGCTTTGCCAACTCCCCTGGAAAAACCAACCTCACCGCTGTCTGAATCTCCCTTGACGTAATTGTAGGCTTCTTGTTGTACCTCGCAAGCTTCGATGATTCTGAAGCAAGCTTCTCAAAGATGTCATTAATGAAGGAATTCATTATACCCATTGCCTTGCTTGAGATCCCGATATCAGGATGAACCTGCTTCAACAATTTAAAGATGTAGATCTTGTATGTCTCCACGTTCTTCTTGCTTCTCTTCTTCTTCTTCTTGTCGGCGGCACCGGCGCCAGATTCCTTGGGAAGCTTCTTCCCGGCCTTTGGTTTTTTTTCTCGGCGGGCTTTTTCAGTGACGACGACTTTCTTCTCCTCCGCGAGCTTCTTCTCAGCTGGCTTCTTCTCTGCTTTTGGCCCCATTGAAGGTATTTGAATTTTAGAGAAAAAGAGACTGATTTTCTAGAGAGAGAAAGATTGTTGTTTGTGGGATGTGATGGTATGAACGGAGGTTGGCATTATATATGAACTGAGATGTGTGATCTGATTGGTTGATTTTAATTGACACGGATCGCGAGTAGTTGGCATCTGATTGGTTGATTTTATTAGGGAGAAATAAGTCATTGCACATATTTGTTTCCCTTAGAGATAAATAATATACATGATAAAATAAATATCAATGAAGTTTAAAAAACATGATCATTAATCATATATTTACAAAATTACCAATCACAATTGTGAGATCGAAATAAAAACCAAAGTCAAATCAATTTGAATTCTTTCCAAAATTATGTGCATAATGATTTTTTTATGTGTGATTATAGAACTTAAATATAAAAAATACATTAAAATACAATGTGATGAGTATTTATAAAGAACAAAATCATTGATTATGATATTTTTAACTACTATAATGAACTTTAATTTAATAATAATAACAATAATAATAATAATAATAATAATAATAATATAATAATAATATTAAAAATTAAATAAAAAACAGTAATAATATGTTATGCGGCATGAATGATAGAATAAAACGGATGAGAAAAAAGGAATAAATAAGTTTGTGCTTGATTTTTGGGAAACAATGAAAAATTAATCAATAAAAATATCTTAAAAATCATATAAGGTGTTTATATGGAAAAATATGATGTTTTAACTCTTATTTTTATATTTTAATTGAAATTGAGATGAATCTTTTTGAATTTAAGTTTTCGATGTGACTCTAGCATTAATTATGATTAATATGATGGATAATGTCACTGTAGCACATGGAACTTTTAACATTTGGCTAATTTGGTCCTTAAAGTTTTTTTTAGTACATTAGACCATTAAACTCGTAATTGACCTTTCAATTACACCATTTTAGAAGGTTTCTCGGTTACAATGCTTATGTGGCACACTGATGTGTCCAATAAGCTTACGTGGTCCAGTTGTCGATACAGGCTTATTAATTGAAACCCTCATTCATACCTCCTTTCAATCTTTACTTACCCTTCTCTGAAAAGTCAAAGACTTTCCCTCCCCGACTATTTCCATCCTGAAGAAGAATGTCTTCGAGCTCATCGACGTCAAGGAATTAGCTACAAGTCACTCATGTTCAGTCGCAAGAAGGGTAAAGTTTGTGATTGTGGCGTTCCAGCTAAAGAACGAACTGTTGGAAGATAACAAACCCTGGGAGGCGATTCTGGAATTGTCAAAACAGTATGGTAGGTCCTGATTCTCTTGATTTTGATAAGTTAGTATTTTATGGTTTGATGTGTTGTTTCTTTCTGTAAAGACGATAATGATGTATTTTGTATTTTTTTCATCTGTTAAAAACCCTAATTGTATTTGCTTCTTGACGATCACTGTGAATAAAACCCATTTCGCTGGTACATTAAAGGTAGTTGATTTGTGATTGTCAATCAAACCCTAATTTTATTGGCTTTTTATAGACTAGGTTGAGGAAATGTAGCTTCTTTGAATGGAAAGATGAAGAACAGGCAGACGGGTACTACAAAAACCTGTTATACTCTCTGAAGCAGAAACTGGATGCCAAAGATGAACTGTCTGAGATGAAAAATTGAGGAGAAGGATTGCTGAAGTGGAGTTTCTGTTGTCACATGAGCAGTATAAGGTGGCAAAGAGTGATAAAGAAGTTCATGATGCAAGGAAGGCAATAGGCAGGTACAGGATGATAGTTGCCCTGTTGTTTGCTTGCTTGGCCCTATTTTGAAGTTAGGGGGGTGATTGTAGTTAGTTTGGTTGGTTAGTGTAAGCTTTTGTTTTTTTGGGATCCCTTGTATTTTTGTAAAGGCATACTAGAAAGTTAGTTCCATAAGGGCATTTTGTATGTATTGAAGCTGGTTTTAGTTATAAGTTGGGGTTATCAACCTTAATGTGTTGATGTTGTAAGGTGGTAAGTCCCTAATGAAAGGGCATATGATAAGTAATGTAAAAAAATATTCAAAGTCCCAATTGTAGGGCATTTTGTATAATCAATGATGTTTATCAAACATATGCATGGTCTATATTCCCTACAAATATATTTAATTAGGAAGTGGTCCATGTGGAAGTACACTATGTGTATGGGGACCATTTTAATAATGAAAAAATGGGACCTGTGAAGCCATTAAAAAACCAAATCCGGGGCCATATAAAACATCCCCATGCATGCCATTATTCCAATTCCATGCATAATATTCAAAGCCAAATGTCATGATTTTACTTAAAATGGTAACATACCTTCATACATCATGTCATACATAAATAAATGACCAACATACCCTTTTCTTGCATACATAAATAAATGACCAACATACCCTTTTCTGTCATACATACTTAAATGACCAAATTACCCTTTTCTTACATACATAAATGAATGACTAAATTACCCTTTTCTGTCATACATACTTAAATGACCAAATTACCATTTTCTTGCATACATAAATGAATTACCTACATCAATAAATAAATGACCAAATTACCTTTTTATGTCATAAATACTTAAATGACCAGATTACCCTTTTTCTTTCATACATACTTAAATGACCAAAATACCCTTTAATGTCACACATACTTAAATATAAATTACCAACATCCTATTACATAAACTTTAAATATAAATTACCATCATCCTATTACATAAACTTTAAATCCAATTCACCATCATCCTATTACATAAACCTTAAACACAAATTACAATAAACACTAATCAATTACAAGAGCTTTTCCCTTCGAATTTCCTAGATCATCAACACCACCAATTGTTTTGCCTAATTTCAGCTTCAGTATTCTCTCTGACTTTCTTCTCCTTATCCTCTTCAAAATATCTGAAATTGGCCTAACACAAACGTGTTGAACTTGGTTAACAGGAGCAACCTCCTGAACATTACCATTATCCACTTGGGCATTAGGATTAACCTCATCAACCTCCTGAACATTTACATTATCAAATTGGATAACAAGATCAACCTCCTCAGCCTCCTCATCTTGAACAACTTACTCAACCACAACAGCTTCCTCAACCATATCAGCTTCCTCACCCATAACACCCTCATCACCTTCATAACATCTAGGTGGAGTAAATTGCATATAATGACTAAAATCCCCTGCACTACTAGATTCAACATCAGTAGGAGCAACTTGCATATCATTTTGAGTAGTATCCATCTCAATTGGAGTCATTTCAACCTCTTCATGTTGTTGTGGTTCACTTGTACTACCGTACATGGCATGATATAATTATGTTAGTAACAAATTATATGTAATTAATCTTATATTTTAAATTTTTTTACTGTTCTGCGTTTTGGTTCACACATACTTTGTGTTTCTTCTGTTTCTTCATATTTAACTTTTGGGGCCTTCTTTGTGGACAAGTGGCCTTGTTGTGACCTATCTCCTTGCAAATACTACATATGGTTTTCTTTCCAGCCTTAGAAACCCTGTGTGTTCCTATATTCTCTGTAGTGGATTTCTTCCTCTTAGTAGTTGGCCTACCAGGCATCCTTCTATTAATAGGAGGCAATGGTGGAGTATAGTTTGTCTCTGGCCACATGTCACTGCTATTCATGGGAGCAATTCTTAATTGTATGCCTTTGTAAATGTGGTTGTGCTAAACATGTTGTCTACATAGGCTTCTACATCCCTATTAAGAAAGGATATGCTAGCTACAGAATGAGCACATCCATATCCATTCAATTGCCACAACCTACATGAGCATGTTTTTCTTTCTAAGTCCACCTCATATGCATCTATTGCTCCCCTTACCTCAAACTGGTTTAATCCACTTGGTAGTACCTGATAATGCCTTTGAGCTTTTTTAAGCAAATTCACCTTATTCCCTTATCTTGGACAAATATGATTTCCCCATTGTTGTCCCTTTAATTTCATGTTGTAGATTTATCCATCATGTATAATCTTATCTCCTCTAACATGGTTATTATGGGCTTCTTCCTAGCATCTACTATTACAGCATTAAAACTTTCTGAGAACCCATTTTCAACTGCATCACAACACCTTCCAGTTTGAAAGAAAGCTCTAGACCATGTTTTAGATCTTTTCTCCATGAGATATTGATGGGCATCTGGGTTCAATGTCTCAATTTCTTTCATCACAACTTTAAAAGCATGCTCAGTTGTGGCTTTAGATGCTCTCCAAAACAAGGTATGATATATGGCACCAGTAAATCTCTTCTGCAAATTCTGGCAAAATATGTCTAGCACACTGCCTGTGCTCTACATATGGCAGCAACTCTTTAACAGCCTCTATCAAACCCTGTATTAGTAAAAGGTTTAATTCAGATAGTCTAAAATTAACATAAATGCATTACTATGTAAAATACTAACTTATGTTGGTCTGACATTAAACTGAAACCATTGCCTAAATTCAAGTGTAGATCATCAATGAGAAGCTCTAGAAACCATTCCAATTCTGCTTGTTCTCCACATTAACCACTGCCCAAGCAATAGGATATATCTTGTCATTTGCATCCCTCCCAATAGCACAAAGCAATTCTCCCTTACAAACACCTTTAAGAAAACATCCATCAGACCAATTACCCTTCTACACCCTTCAATCCAACCTTGTTTAACTCCTTGAAACACAACAATAGAACTTGCTAAAATATTTCTTTCCATCTGGCCATCCTCCATATCTAGTTTCACAGTTGACCCAAGATTTGTCCTTAAAATCTCATGACCATATGACCATAGCTTACCATAATGTTCAACAAGGTTACCTTCAACAAGTTTCAGTGCATACTTCTTTGCTCTTCTACATTGCCCCATACTAACTTGGATACCAAACTTGGCCATTACCTTTAACCTAAGCTTCCTTACACTTATTTTCTGACTTTCTACAATCTCTTTGGTATAGTGACTCCCAATCCATGCATATGTCACCAATGATCCAAACTTGAAGTTCCTAGCACAATTATGATCAGCTTTTAGTGACTTGATTTGGAAACTCTCTTCATCACTCATCCAGGAAGCCCATAATCTAAATGTGCAAGCACCTTTTGCTACACCTCACCAAAAGTCTTGTCCTATCATTTTTTTCAAAAACACAATTGATATCCATTAGCTACAGCATAGTTACACAACATTGATTTTACTTGCCCTGGAACCCTTAAATCTCATCCCTAGAATTGGTTTTTGTTTTTTCCAGTGTAATAGCTCATTAAATATGGAATGAGCTTGTATGTTAACTTCAACTTCTCTCCCATTTTCATCATCTACAATGTTGTTTGCATCCTCATCATCAACACATAGCTTACTCAAGAAAGGATCATTTGATGTCCTACTCATATGCACTACATCCTCATTAAATTCAAAGGAAACATTTCTAAGTTCATCTATGTTGTCTTCATTTTCACCATCAATACAAGACTCATGTTCATCATCATCATTATCTTCATCATCATGCCACCCATCAACACCAACCCTATGATCCACATAAACCGAAATTACACCATCTGTTCCATAAGCATCAAAAATAAAAGCAGAATATTCCACATCATCTGAAATGGGATTAAGCCCTTCCATGAAGGACATGTCTGGTTCACAGTAGTAAAACTTTTTACACTCTTCATGCATGAAACGTTCGCAGAAGGTCACAAACTCAGAATAAGTCATAGAAGAAAAGTCAACATCATTGAAGATGGTTTTAACACCACCAGTGTAGAGAAAGGATTTCGATTAAATACCCCTTGGTAGTTGAGTTCCACCATCGCAAACAGTCCATTAGGTTCCGATTGTGCCATTGCTGCGAGTTCTTTGTTTCTTTCAGCTCGATCACAGGAATGCTTCACAAACCCTAAATCAGTTTCTTTTACAGCTCAATAATGAAGAAGAAGACTAGTGAAGTTCGATAGCTGAAGACGAAAGGCTTTAAGCGTCGTATTTCATTAATTGACGTGGTATATCTCACGTGGCATCGGATTAGACAAAAAATATATATTAATTGACAAAATGGCATCGTATAACCGGGAAACCTTCTAAAAGTTGCTAAAAATGGTGTAATTAAAAGGTCAGTTACGAGTTTAATGGTCTAATGTACCAAACCAAATTAGCCAAATGTTAAAAGTTTCATGTGC